CCTGAAAATTAGCTTCATTTTCTCTTTTCCTTTCTCAGCCTTTTTTTTTTTTGTTCAAGATTGTATTATTTCAAAACAAATTTAGAGGAAAAAAAAAGAACAAATATTACAACCTTAAGGGAGATCGTGTGGCCAAGTGGTTAGCGCGCTCCATTCTAAACGGAATGAGACCATTCTTGGTCCAAAAGCATTTCTTTTGCTTTAATTGTGTGTCATAACCGAAGGCTGTTACAAATCTCCTTTTAAAACAGTTAGTTATAAACTGAAACAGTTTGTTACATTCTTATCGCGAAAACGGTACGCAAATACACTTAATTAACGCTAGCCTGAGTATGGAATAAACATGTCAGTAATTCCCTTTTGACCAATTCCCCCAGGGGGCTTTCATGGTCATGTCAATCAAATTGGGAAACAGACATTGTAAATAATCATAATGTTTAAAAATCCCAGCCAGCAGGGGGCACACCAGTTGGCTGTATACAAAGTGAGTTAAGGAATCGACCTTAGGGAGACGAGAACAAATCCAGCGAGTAATAAGGTAGAGGGCTTTCACCCGTGACCACCAGATCACTAGTTCAGCACTCTCACCACACTGCCTCAAACATCACAGAAGCAATGCCAGTATGCTTCTTCCTATAGTTCACTCTGCAACGTATCCCCCTTTTTATTCTTACCAGCTGATAGAACGGTTATTCTCGAAATTAGTTGCAACTATCAATTTCTCATGAAATTACTCGGATTACTACAGGAACTTTTATGAAACCGTATAGGGGAATTTTTATCATATTATCTAATTAGTGATACGCAAATCCTACTGAAGCAAGTTTCGATCTTACAGTTACCAAATTGGTAATAAAAGTTTCATGCTGTGAGAGAGATTATACTCTTGATTCTTTCTGGATTGCTTCATGATCATCTTCAGGAGGTAAGACGGCATCTGCTCTTTTGACGGTGAGACTTGAAGGCAACCGGCTGCTTTTTCTACTGACTATCCTAATAAACGCCATATTTATCTTGGTGCTCAGAAAAATGTACAGCCATGGGTTAACGGCACTGTTGACGTGTCCAAACCAAAAACACACAACAATGACAATCGGCTGTATATGTAGGTGGGCCTTAGATGCGTGAATGACCATCATCATGTGGACCACTTGTGGTGGGAGCCAACAAAGGGCAAAGGCACAGGTAACAATAATGAGCATCCGAATCACTCTTCTCTTGGAGGTTTCGAGTTGCGCTCGATTTCCTCTCAAAGTATTCACTCCAGGTGTAACATGGAACCATAAATTCCATGTAGTTATGGTATACAGGAAAGAAATAACGACCAAGGGGATGAGATAGTTGACGACGAAAAGGAGGAGGTATATTCCTCGAATAGCCTTATCTGGATCACCCAAGATGTAAACAGATAGCATGCAATAATTATTGTGTTCCTCCACGGTTTGAATAACAAGGAAAATGGACATGGAGACCAGTGACCAAATCCAAATAAATGGAACGGTTAGTTTAGGCTTTCGAAACCAAAGATGGCGGCGGAGGGGATGAACGATGGCATAGTACCTGTCGATCGCCATGAACGTCAGGGAGAGGATGGATGCTGATGAATTTACATAGATAGTGTATACAACACCTTTGCACATGACTTTTCCAAATACTCCCGGGATCATCCACAAACCGTCTGTATATATCAAGGAAATCGACCAGGGCATCACTACCAAGGTTAGCAGCAAATCAGCGATGGCCAT